AAGTTAATAAAAAATAAGTTCTATAAAGTTAGTTCAACAAACCAAACGGCCTGTCTAAAGGAGTTAAAAAATGCTGAATTCATTTGGTAGACATGTATCGGAGAGGTGGACTGGTGTGAACATGGGTTAAGTAATGAAAAAATGGAATATTTCTGATATTCACCACACTGTTAAAATTTTCATTCTAAAATTATGGAAAAATAACTGGCAGCTGTCTGTCCCTCCGCTTAACCGCAAAGTTTACGGTGAAGAAATTTTTTTTCCTTCATGGTTTTGAAACTATTTACAAAATGTATGGTTATAAAACCATGAATACAAAACTATATGTTTTTTGAACTATTTGCAACTAGCGTTTTTCAAAAACGTAAAAAAAAAAATAATTAATTTTTCATGGGAGCTCGGCTTTTCGTAAGGCATTGGAGAGTGCCGGACACTGGAAATTCTTCATGTGTTAAAGGGAGACATTGTGGTGTCAACAATAGCACTCGAACTCCAGTTCTGCCGGTTATGAGGTTGACAGATATGCCCGCTCGGCTATGATACTAAACAAAAGTTGCAGTTGCGGAGAACTAAGCAGCTTCATTAGGTGGTTCTAGTTGGTGCGATAAAATTCTGGTTGCTTAACCGTATTAGGAGAAAGCAGTTAATAAACAGTTTTATTGCCATTTTATTTATGGTTATTTGACTTTTTTGATTAAATATGGTAAAATAACCATTCAATAAATTGTTATTTAACCATTTTTCCCGAGAAATTTCTAACAGTGCAGTCGAAATTTCTTAGCAAATTTTGGCAAAACTGTGGTATAATTTTCAATGCAGTGGTATTTCAAAATACTTAATTGTTCAGTAAAAAAGTACAACTTTAACTTACCTCTGAATTGTAACTTTGGACTATTATTATCCATCATTTTTGATAAAAAAGTGTTTTTATATTATGAATAAATATGCTTTTCAGTACATAGTTTATTAATCACTTTTTATTTGCCTTTTTTTATTAATTGATAATGGGCGAATAAATAACTCCACGGAACAATTGTAGTAAAATATGGTATGCTGTGGATTGATTTTATTTTTTATCAAGTTTAGTATTATTTTCTGATAAGCTGTGGTGCTGTGGTGAGTTTTTTAATCCTGAGCAGATTCAAAGAAGGTTGACTCTTAATGACAAATTTGATAAATAATTATGCATATTTTGCTAATAAATATACAAAATAAAGCATGTCATCACGAAAAAGTGAATCAATTCCTATAAAATGACCAGTCATTAGTAGCGGGGAACATTTTTGTCCTGTCTCATAAGTTTTTTGAACGGATCTTACGATATTTTCGCGCTGCTGAAATTTGAAATACGAAATACGATTCTCTCTACAAGCTATAGTTTTCATGCAATTTAATAGTATATTAATATAAAGGACTTTTTTTTAATATTCACTAGAGGGAATACTAAGCGTCCCTACTTCTGTGTGACGTAGGAAGAAGGCTTTATTACATATCAGTCTATGTTGCAATACGTTAGGGTCTTTGTTTTTTTGTCTTAAGTTTTATTTTCCAAGAAGTGATACAAGTGTATAAATATGTATTAAAACGTATACGTCCTTTATAAACTTTTACATTCAGACAAAAATAAATTATACTAAAAATAGCACTCTGAAACAAAAATCTGTTGCTTTCCGAGTAAAAGCAATTTCAGATTTGAAACATCCTAATTAAGGGCATTGAAAAATGAAAATCATATTTTAGTATCGAAAGTAAGAATTTTAATAAATACACATAATAAAAGAAGAAACCATAACACTCTTTATCCTCACGAACGGTGTGTGAAATCATGTTGTCGTTAAGGTTAAACATTTAATACTCGAATCAACCTTTTAGGAGAAAAGAGGTTTTTTAAGTTCTCCACCACAAGATTATCGTCTGATAATAGTGCACTCATTTCTGGTTAGTTTTCCGTAAATATTTTAGGTTGATAGTTCAGTTTTGCGTGTCTGACAATTCCTGCTGAGTTTTTAAGACGACTTTTAATCATCGAATAATATTAAATTGAGTAATAATTGAAAAACTTGTTGTTTCCAACACCTATAAGATGTTTTCTTAAAGAATGATTTACATCATTGAGAGTTTAATATTGATTTCCTGTATACCTAACTGTTATTCATTATTTTAAATTTCGTTTTTCTGGCTGTAGAAACTGACTTCCTCTGAAATAAAAAACATACTTAAAGGTCATTTGCTGAGAGGGTGAATAATGAATGAATGAAGACTCAACCGGGATTGCCCGCGGGAATGCACCACAATTGTCAATGAAAGATAATATCCGTGTGATTCGCTTCAATAATTTTGTTCTCTGTAAATAGTTTTCAATCACGCATCAGGGGAACTCTTTTAAAAAAAAAATTCTAGTCTATGAATATTTTAAGATGTCCATCACGTACTTCAGTGGAAATCACTCCTTAAATGTATATTAATACATAACACCCATAAAACACACACATAAGATTTATTCTTAATATTTGTTGAGAAATTTATTTCTCTAACTCAGTTTTAGTACAACCGTGTAATGAAGACTGTTTTTTTATTTTTATTTAAATAAATGAATTTACAAGAATGAAAAAAACAGCAACCCTCGAGCTATCATTTCATTCCTAAACTAAAAAACATTTAAAGCATTAGGAAAAAATATTTTTTTATTATTAAACTTCAATGAGAATCATTCCTTTAAAAATCAATTTAAACATAATCAATACATTTTCGTTGCCATCCACCATTTAAAATTTTTTAGGCCCCTTTGAAAAAAATTAAATAAATAAAAGTATTCAGCCATAACTGGTCTCACTTCTTTAATTTTTATCTTATTGCTTTAATATCAGTGATTTATTTGTTAAAATAATCATTATCTAAAATGATAAAAAGTTATAATATGTTTCAACGACGTGGCTAACTCTTTCCAGTTAGCTCCAATTTTCTTAAAATGTAATTATTCAGTTTTAAACATTTATTTGAGTTTATGCAATTCAGTGCTATTTTTACCTAACTGCAAACATCATTCAAGTAAATATTATTGATGAAATGGTGTTATTGATGCAAAAGCAATAAAAGAGAAAAGTATGTTTTTTTTTGCGGCACCAGAGATACAAAAGATAAATTCTGTTGTCTGTAGATGTAGCAAATTAAACAATTAAGCGTAACATTTTTATGTTAAAATTTTCGCTTAGATCACAGTTTATGGGAAAGTAATGTAAAAAATCTATTGTAAATATGAATTGCTAGTGATACTCATCGGAAAAACTTTACAAGCAAACAGTATATGAAGAATATGCTTTATTTGTTTCTAAGCCATGCACATCTGAAATTACACAAAATCTATTTTAATTAAAGAAAGTCTTGCATATCATGGATTGGTTGATGAAATTCATGAAAATCAGGTCCAATTTATGAGAACAAATGTTGTTTTAGAAGATTAAGAGATTTGTTGCGAAAAATTTGAACACCGTTAGTTGCACCACTAGCAATAAAATTTCCATTTGAATAAATTTTTTTTCTCCGATTGAGAAACCTTGGAAAATCGCTTATTGTCATCCGAAGAACCATTTCTTTGGTTATTTGACTCAAAATTCCCGAAATTTTCTTGATTAGTGACTTAAAGATGTGAATCAACTGGAGAATCAAAATGTTTTACATTTGTTTTATCATTCGTTCTCAGCTGCCGAATTACAATACTTTTTGTACATTTATTATTTTTCTTCACTCTAGATCCACTAATTTTTCCAAGAATTATTTTTTTCTTACTCTTTTCTATAAAAAGATTAAATATTATTTAGAATGTAAAAATGTCAGATGCGTGTGTTTGTGAAAAGGGGATATATTCTTTCAACGAAAATAAGAAGTGTTTACTTTGTTTAGTTTTCCAATAAGTAGCAAGGATATTCTATCACTTCTACTAGCATTAAGAAATCAATGAAAAATCTTTAAAATGTGTATCTCAATCAAATTAACAAAACATTTATATTTAAAGTGTTACAATAACTATCATTAAGATTCCTAATTAACAATCAAACTTTAAAAATCTAAGTCAATATCTTTTAATGAATTCTATTGTATATTTATGCTACGTTCGTAAAATATTATATAATATCTTAAGAGGGAAATATGTATTCAGTTAGTGAGACCGAGTTCCGATCTCATTGTTTCAACGATACTCATCATTTTTTATTAAATTTCTTATCTCACTAAAGCACGAAGAGGCAAATCACAGCTTAAACATTTAAAAAATTTCCTTTATAAACAAAACTCTAAACAAACAACAAAATTATTTTGAAAAATATATATGATAACATAATTCATAACAATGAAACATAATTTCGAAACGGAATCTTATAACGAAATCTTTTTAAATCTTCAATGAAGCAACTAAAATCATCTGATAGTTGAAAGGGTTCAAGGTTAATAATACAGTTTGTTTAATGCAATGATTTGCATGATTTCGTTTATCTTTAAAAATCCTCACTTAATTCTCTCCTTATTTCATTTCATTTTCTCAATCCAAATTTTAGATGACATAAACTCTTGCTGAAAAACATCTTTTCTATCATCAAAGTTTGCCGCAAACCATGCATATTTGAAAATTGAGATGATAGAGGGGGGAGGGAGATAAAAACTAAAAGTAAAAATAATATTGTATGTATACTATATTATACTGGATAGAACATTTCACAGCATATAAAAAGTGCAAAATTTTCGAGACAAGAAAATATGATTAAAAAATTTTCCTAATTCCCTTTGAAAATATATTTTTTAAAACTCATGAATGAGATATTGTGCAGACGCTTGTTTCTTGACAATCAACTGTTAATTTTCTTGAAAGATGGAGAGAGAGAGAGGGGAGGATGTGTCTCCCTCAACACAATGCAAACGAAAAACATTTCCTGTCACGTGATAAAGATGATGCAAAAAAATAAAAAAAGTAAAAAAATAAGAGCAATAAGTCGCGTGCCAGGTAAATCAGCCCCGCCCTTTCGTCTCTCGGACAAGTAAAGGAAGGGGATGGGGTTTGGAACAGATTGCGGTGATGAGTCTACCAGCACGGTCATCGGACACTCCGGGTGAGATCTTTTTTCTTTTATGTTTAAGAAAAATAATTTTTTCTCTCACTTAAAAGTGTTTTATAATCACTTTAGAAGAAGGGGGGAAGGGAGACATTTATAAAGAAATAAAGTGCAATGCAAAACATTCATCGAATTTATTTCACAAATTATTCATTTAAATAGTTTGATTATGAATTGTTATCAAAATATAAAATGACGCATTTTGACTTTAGAGTTTCAGGAAGACACCGATTCTTTATGTAGAAACTTCAAAATGCGATGATGAAAATTCCGAGGAATAATGTTTTTCCAGATTTGAAAAATTTTGAATGTTACACTATCAATGATTGGTTGTCTTATAAACAACAAAATATTTTTTGTAATAAGGAAATTTAAAAAAAATCAAATTCATGAAACACTTTAATAATAGAAGAAAAGTGGAATGCTTAAAAATCATGCTAAATTGTTTTAAAAACAAAATTAAACAGAGGGTATAAAAGTTTTTTTTTGATTAAAAACATCAAACATACTTTTAGCATGATTAAATCGTGTACTCAAGACATTATAATTAAATAATCTCACTCATTTTTAAGCCATTGCAAATTAAAAGAAATCTACTTCGTATGAAATAAGGAAAAGCAATGTTTTAAGTATAGTTTGTATCAAGCTTCTGAACTTCAAATCGAGTTCATTAATTCACTGTAAATGCGCATTGTCTTTTCAACATTTAAATTTTCTCAATGAAAGCTAATAAAAATTAATCAAAAATTTCCTCTCCACTATCCCTTTTAAACTGAGAAAATAACTAAGGATTCATTTTAATTACAAATCCAAATAATTTGTGCAAGTCAAAAATTAAAGTTTTCAAATTTTTAACCAAACTCAAAGGACGACAAAAAAAACAAGTTTTTTCCCATCAAAAATTAGTAATAGTTCTTGGCAGAGCTGAGAGTTGTCATAAGGTCGCAAAGAGTAAAACACTATGAAAACATGTAAAACATTATTTCATCCCATTAAAAAAATAAATAAAAAAGAGAGGGGGGGGGGAGGGAAAGGGAGAGAAAGATCAAGTTACTTAAATAAATATTGTTTTTTATGTGGTGATGAAGTTGTTTTGAAAAAAGAAGATGCAAGAATTCTGAAATGAAAAGATTATACATCTTTGCTTCGATGGAATTTAAAAATTCATTCATGAAAGATGTACAAAGAAGAACAGGGCAAAAACTTTCTAAATACTTATAACGAATTGCGAGATATTACGGCAGCTACTTGCATCGTAAAATGTTTGACCGAAACTAACAGTAGTTATACCAAAAACCGTAGTATACATGATCTCAAAGAAAGTATTTCTAAATATTCATCTTATTGCTACTTTGATCAGAGTATGAATAAGATGGGACGTTTAAGTTAATCGTGTTTCACATCTTTGTCACACTTCGCAATAATTGAATTTATTTTCATTCAATTTTCTTAAATTTAAAATTTTTGGATAAACCCTTAAGACTCGATGTTGTTTATATGTATAAGATAAACCCGGAATATCGTTACAGTGAATCGTTATAGTATTCGGGGGGGATTACATGTTTGTTTTTAAACTAAACTGCTGTTTGTAGAAAATGCAACACCATGAAGGAATCATCAGAATCAAATGAAATATTATTTTAATAATGGAT